TGACTGCCCCTACATGTTTTTCTCATTGTTCTTCTATCAGAATTCCCAAACCTGATCCTTTTTTCTTGTCTTCTGCTACATTTGTCCAGTATTTTACATACTTTCTGTTTGTAGCAAATGTTAAAAAACTTTCTTCTCTTTTCATAAGATTTGTTTCTGTAATTCCTAATATTGCAATTTTCTCATCTTCTGCTCAGCCGAGCAGATTCTCCAATTTCCAACCTTTGGTCTTGAGTTCGTTGATATTGTGACATGCTATTTTTATCTCTTTATTTCCTTCTTTCCACTTTTCTTTTAACAGTCTTGGTCTTGCCTCTGCATTATCTAGCTTTTTTTTATTTTTGCTGTGTATTTCTTCTTCTTGATAAAAAGACTTAAGTTTTCTTCTTTCTTCAAACACCTCTCTTTTCTTTTGTAAGAAGCTTCCAATTTCCTTGTCTATGCTCATTGATTCAACTGTAGCGCCTTTAGGAGTGATTGGCTGGGTTCTCTTCTGTTTTTTTTCTAACCTTACTTTGTTGTAATTCTAATCTCTCCAGTTTTTCAAGTATTTTTTCCAACAGGTCTTGATTTTGTATTTGATGTTCTTCTTTTTCTGTTGAGTGTATACAATATTTCTCTTTGTTTCTTTTGCTGTCTTCTGCATCATTTCTTTTTTCACTTTTCTCATTCTTGTATTCTTCATTATCTAAGTTTTCTTCTACATTGTATATAGGTGTATATCTTTTATAAACTACTTTTCCTTATTATATTTCTTTTCTCTTGCTTCCTCTTTCCAAAAAAGCAAGTGATTGTTGAATCTTATTGGTTTTGTTTGTGCTGCTTTCATTTCTTCCTCTGATGCAAAAGTAATTATCGTAGACCTTCTTTGATTACCATTTCTATTCATTAGTATATATACTGACTTTGCACCTTTTTTCTTAAGCATTGTAATAATAAAACTTCTGATGCATTTCCAGGAAGCTCCAATAATTTTGATGTAAACTGACTATGTTGGTCCCATAATTTATAGTCTTCATTGCCCTTGGACACTCTTACTAGCTTATGAGTACCAACTGGCAAAGCCCATGGAATGTTTTCTTCTTTTATGTCTTTAACATATACAATCACTAAAGCTTTGTATTTGGAACACTTGGTTCAGTCTACTTTAGTATTTTTAATATTTTTACACATATGTTCTACTTCTTCTATATTGATATTTGCTGGCAAATCCCAAATTGTTAGGTAGTTATTTGTCTATAAACCTTCTTCTATTTGAGATTTTTCTATATCTTTTCTTTTTTCTCTTGTTTGATTCACATTTTCATATTCTTCTTCTTTTTTCTTTAAACTCTTACTATATAACTTTCCTATTACACTATTCATTTTTACTTTTGTTTGTCTTGTATTTTCTTCTTTTCTTTTCTTTGCATTGTAACTTTCTTGTTGTTCCATCTTTTGGCTCTTGTTCTTGATCTCTTCTGAGATGAGTTTAAGTCATTCTTCTTCTTTTCTTTTAATTCTGTCTATTGCTACATCTCTACTATGCTCACAATCAAAATCCACTTCTACCTAATTGTTCTCGTTTTTGAAAACTTCATTGATTGCTTTAATGTGGTGGTTTGTTCCCAAAATCCACTGAACATACTTTACTCTTTCTTCTTTGGTCTTTTCAGGCAATGCGTATGTAGGCATATTTGCTTTGAATAACTTGTTTCTATCACATATTCTGTTTTCTGAAGACTATCAACTATGCTCAATTGTTTCTGTAAGAAAAACTGCTTCTTCTTTTTCACTGTTTGATTCATCTTTCCATTTCATTGCTTCTATATCCATGACTTCCATGTTTTCTATACTCTCATATCTGTCATTTGTTAATATTTTGGGTTTTCTTTTTGCTTCTTTTCTTTTTCTGATTTCACTTCATTATTCTTTGTCAAGATTTTTTCTTCATATTCAATGTTATTGAGAGCTTGACTTGTTTGGTATTGTGATATGGTGATGCTTAGTTCTTTCATCTGTTCTTCCAATATCTCTACTTCTTGTTCTACATCTTTGCAATTATTTTCTTTTTCTTGTCATTGTTTTTTATTAATTATATCTTTTGTTTCATTAGTTTCAACTAAAATTCTTACCTTATCAGTACTTTTCTCTCCTTGATATAGTTTTTCTTTACTTCTATTTGTGTCATGTTCAAATGCATCTGGGTTATAGCTTATAGCTCTAAGCTTTTTTGCCCACTTGTTGATTACTTCTTCTTTAAGCCAACTTATTTCTGCTAATCTTAAGGCTTCCAATACCTGACTGTATATTAGCAAGTCATGTGGTGTAATATGTTTCAGATCGTAGATTGCTAGGTCCTTTGCAATACACTCTATATTGCTTGGTCCTTTTGTTGGTGTCCTAAGAACTTGGTCCAAAAGTTTGCAATCTACATATCTATAATTTCTATCTCCTATTCCTCTAATGTGATCTATAACATCTACATTTTGTGCTTCAACTATTGGTCTATATTTCTTACTATGGTTCCAGTTTTTCTTTTGTATACTTTGTATATATTTTGCTATACTATTTGGTACACATGTTCCCTATTTGCTTTGTTTGTTTTGTTTTGTGTTTGTGTAACCTAACTGATCTGCATGACAAGGTCATAGCTATTCCCCAAAATTTTTCTAAAAACTAAACTTTTTGTTGAAATTTTTCTTTTTTTTCTATACTATATTGCCAAAGAACTCTAGTTTCTGTTTTTGTCTTTGGTTATATGTAGCTTTTGCTGCTTTATCTTTTTTGTTATAAGTCAAGGTGTTGTTTTTTAGTGTGTTTCTATGTTGTTTCTTATTTTGCTTCTTGATGATTTTTGGTCGAGAGATCTGCAAAAGAGAGTTTTGATAATCATTATCAATATGACGATTTCTGTATTATTAATTTTCTTTTTTCTATATATAAATATCAAAGAAAATTTTTTTGCTATACATCAAAAATCAACAATAAAAAATCTGTATTAAGTTAAAAAAGGTATATATTCATGAAATGCAAGATGTGATAATTTTGAAAGAATAGAAAATCTTAATACACATACTATCAAAAACACAGAAAAATGTCAATAGATAATAAGTAGTTTTTTTTTTATTGACCCTCTTAGAAAATGAAAGTTTATTTCTTTGAAAGTATATTTATTTATTATATCCATTAATTAAAACTCTAATAGTTTATATTCAATGAAATTCAATTATTCTCTTATTATACCAAATAAAAGATAATACATATATTAATACCAATTCATTATTTGAATACAAATTCAACTATTTCTGAATATAATAATGTAGCTGAAGCAGACAAAGCAGATGCTAAGACTAAAAATTGTAGAAAATTATAAAAAAGACCCTTTACAATATATAATATACAGTAAATTGTTCATATAGAGGTTATTGGATATACATATAATCTTGAAAAGTCTTTTGATAATAATAAAAAATAAAAAAACTTTTTTTAACAAATATTGATTCAAAAAATGATAAATTATAGAAGCATGCGAAAAGTCTTCCAAAAACATAGAATAGAAGAAATAAAATACATTTTACTGTCTAAATAAATAATTATATTGAACACTTTTTCATACCAGGAAATCAAAGTTGTTTAAAGTATTTCTGTCAATTATATTAAGAGGATAAAATATTATTAACTTGGAATTTTGCTTTTTTTTTTTGATAAATTCAGTATTTGGTTATGCATTCAATGTTAAAATTGTCAGAATTCAGAAATTAAAATTTTAAATACAAATTACATAACTGATCTTGTAGTTATGCTAGAGTCATTGTTACCATACAGTGTAGACTACAATACCCAGGATACTTTACAAGTTATCTGCATATATGGGTATCATAGTTAGAGGAATGCTATAGCTAGCATAGAAAATACAGATTGTTCTAAGTAAGTGTTGCCAAGAAAAAACCTGCTATTGGACTTTTAATTACAATTATTGATTTAATATATATTTTAGGCCTCTAAAAGTTGTGAGGGGTATTATACTAGGAGGGTCTTTAAGTCCATGCTGTATGGTACTATTGTTCCTTAGAAATTAAAAAAATCGGAGAATAAAATTTAATAAATGAAGTAATAATAATGCATAAGATCAATAAATAATGTAATTGAAAGCATATTATTAATTTAATTGTATGTGATAAAAATTTTAAATAAATTAGTAAAGGCAAAAAAGCTTATATGTGACCCAAGATATCTCTCTTATCTAGAATATAGTAGTACCAGACATTTGCTTCTTGTCATAAAATAAATAATCTTGAGAATCTAAATAAGTTCAGATTTAATGAAAATAACCAAATTGAGTTTAATGAGGAAGATGATGAAATAAATTTATTGATGAGAATAAAATCAAATCCAATAAAGAAAATGAAGAAAAATTTGAAACCAGAAATAAAGAAATATAAAATATATTATAATAGTTCATATTAATTATTTTATTAATGCTTTTGTCTATTATTGTAGCTTGTGGAATGCTTGGGCAAATTTATACTACCAAAAAAGATATTTTAAATATTGTCCAGGAAATAGCTCGACATTCTGGATTTGCTGTAACGATCACAAGTAGTAGCTATCATTACTTATATCTTCAATGTAAATGTGGTAGTCAGCTCTGAAATACCTCTAATTTAACAGTAGATACATGTCAAAAATAAGGATAAGCAAGCATTGTGAGTGCCCATATTTATTAAAGGCCCTTTCAAAAGACTCTAAATGGAAAGTTGTTGAAGTAATAAATAAGTATTATCATCCTAAGGCTAAAGATGCAAGAGTATTTCATGAACATCGTCAGTTAACACAAGAAGCCAAACACACAGCTGTGCAAATGTTAAAAGCTAGAGCAAAACCTAGTACAATTTATGAAGCCATTAGAGATGAGAATGGAGAACCAATTGCAACTAGACGAGATATTTTAAATTTGAGTTCATAAATTCATATTTCAGAGAATAATGCCTCAATAGAGGCACTAATAGTAGGTATGGAAAAAAGAGGATATAGCATTTGTCATGAAGATCAAAAAGGTAAATGGTTCTATATTTTATTTTTATTTTATTAAATTTATTTTAAAAATTCTTACATAATATTAAATTATACAGATGGACATATCAAACATCTTTTTTTCTGTTATAAAAATTCAGTTAAGATGACTAGATGTTTTCCAGAAGTTGTTCTAGCTAATGCAACCTACAAGATGAATGTTTACAAACTGCCATTTGTAAATTTCATTAATATTAGTAATCTTGAGGTTAACCGATTACAAACCTTTGGAATTGCCGATGCTTGGATCTTAGATAAATCTGAGAAGTCATATATTTGGGTGGTTGAAAAGCTTGCCTCACTTATTTTTTTTGATATTTCTCCACTTGTGTTTGTTATGGATAATGATGCTGCACTTATTGGCATCCTTAAAAAAGTATTTCCTCAATCTGAAAATCTCTTATGTACCTGGCATGTTTTGAATAATTTTAAAAAGAATTTAAGAAAACACTTCAATAATAATTCTTATGACAAAATTATAAAACTTATAGATCGTATTATCCATTTAAGAAATTATGATACATTAAATTTGGCAATCACTTCATATAAAGTACTGGCTGCATCAAGTTTCAATATGAATAAGGTAATAAAATATTTTGACAGGGAAGTATATATATTAAATCAATTTTCAAATTATATCAAATTAAATATAAAGTTGAATTTTTTTTTTTTTTGGTGTTAAGGTAAGGCCTTGCTTATATCTTTATTAGTAATTTTAGTTGTATATATTAATATACTATATATTAAAATATACTAAGATTGTATAAACAAAATAAAAACTACATGCAAGAATTGAAGCTCAGACTATTTTATCTGTGACCTAAACCAACTAGAGTAGTCAAAGCCCACCTAGATTTGTCGTACTTATACAAATCTAGATGGGTTTGATCTAGATTGTATAAGTACTTTATAAGGAATCTATAAAGTATAGATAATATGTAATTTGTTTAGTATAAATATAAGAAGTTGTTAGTTATTTGTATAGATATATTAATTTTAAGTAGGATAGTAGAATAAAAAGAAATTGTAGTTGATATAATAATTGTGGAGTCCTACCTAAAGAAGTATAGTCAGGAGTACAAAAGTAGTTGTGTATAACAAGCTTTTATTATCATACTCACGTATATGATAGCTAATCATACTCATGTGTATAATAGCTAATAATACTCACGTGTATGATAGTTAAGACGAGTATCTATTAATTTGCCTTTGAAATTAAGTATGACAAAAGATGGTGTTCGAGATGTAGTTTGTGGTATAATAGTTGAGGAGTTTCTAAATTAAAGAATTAAAGAATTAGTGCAAAAGAATAAAAAAAGAGATACGAATATTGTAAAGGTACTTATTGCTTAGTTTCGTTGGTGGGTCTTGTGCCGATTGCGATCATTGATCGAATCATAGTTAATTAGTTAACCAAGGTCAATGAAAATCAAATATGATGAATGAAAAATGTAGTAATTGAGAAAGTCAAATAGCAAATAATAAATTATGATATAATAAAGATGGAAGTTAAAATATTGTAAGATGAATTATAATGCAATTAATTTAAAGTCAAATTTAATATATATAAGGAACATAAGGAAAATAAAAAAAAAATACTTTTTGCTTTTGATCAAACGTAATACTAGCATTAACATAACCCATACCTTTGAATTGAGACATTAGTAGTCGACCTTGTGCTAAAAATCATTTGTAACTAGCAACAAATAGTCAATTTTACTTAAATTCAAATTTCATTTGTACAGTTCAAAAATGGATCATTGCTTTCAAATTATTGATGGTATAGAAACTATGTACGAAGAGGATTTAGAACTGTTTAATGATGAGAAATCTGAAACTGGCAGTGTAGGTGTATAATTAAATTATATATAATATTGAATTGGAACTTAAGTAACTATTTATTACAATAGGATTTCATTTTGGAAAATGACATTCACATTGAAAATAACTCAGTAACATCACATGATACAAATGATAAAAATACAGTTATCTATTTTAAAAAAGAATTGGCATCACATGCTGTTTATCATATGTTGACACCTATAGAATATCCTGCTACAAGCCCAGAAGAAGTTGCATATATGTTTAACATTGAAGGTTGAAAAGAGCCACTATCAGCATTTAAGGATGTAAGTAGTGTAATTTAATTGAAATCATTTTAATAATTAAGTTTATTTATTTATTGTATTAAATTATTAGATTCAGTATTCGATTGGTAAGCCTGGAGGTGAATACAAAGTTATGTGTCTCTACCTTGGAGTTGAAGTTAAGCGTGAGATGCGAACTTGTCAAGGTTCAAAGCTTTGTAAATTTGCTGCTTCCAAACTTTATAATGGAACTCATCAAAATGTGAATCTGAATTCTGATCTTGTATTATGAATTACACAAGAAATTTCATCAAATAATATTAACAACAATACCTTTGAGTAAATTAAAATTTTATTTAATAATTTAAACAAAAGGTTTAATTATTATATATATATTTATTTAATTAATAGGTTTTATCTTGCTGTTCAAGAAACTTCATGCAAATTTAAAATTAATGAAAGATTATGCGAAGAAAAACAGTTCTTTGTTGTTTGGCTCATCATAATTCATTAGAAACTAAATATTTTATTGGTTGTACTAAATAGAAATATGGTGAAAAACATCATCGATTTATATTTGTTCCTTCGAATGTTAATTTGGAACTTTTGAATAATTTGTATAATGGTACTTATGAGGTAATATATAATATTATTTATTTATTAGTTTTTATAAATTAATTATATTGCTAATAAGTTATTTTGATTATATAGTACAATCAAGATGTTCAAAACAGTCTGTAAATGAATGTTTTACTGTGTTATCTAATTCATCTAAAAAAAATATTGTGGTATGAAAAACTTTATAAACATATAATATATATTACTTAATAAAATTTATATAAATTATTATTTTTTTTAGCATATGCACATCAATCAGGAAATGTTATATGCTGTGGTTCTATTGTTAAAAAGTCTTGTAAAGTTGAATTCTATAAACTTACACTATTAAACCTTAAAGAATGTCCTTTTGTAATTTTAATTTGTAAAGGAATACATACACATCCTCCTCCTCTGCCTATACGGACAACTATTAATATAAAGCAAAGACTTCAAACACTTGTTCAACAAGCTAATAAGGATTTAACTGATATTACACCAACAAAAATTATTACAGCTATATTAATAAATTTTAATTTTATATTTTTATATATGATAATATATTAATTAATATTTTTTATTATATATTAGGCAACTTAATTAAATTATATTTTGGTGTTGACACTTTAAGTGAAGTTCATACTTCGCTTAATGATATTGATAAGTTACGAAATTGTGTTTATAAAATTCAAAAAGAAAAACATCCATTTGGACAAGATTTGTTGGGTATTGTATATAATTTTTCACGAAATATTAATAACTTTCATGAATATGTCAAAGATTAAGTAATTATATTATTTTAAATTGTTTTATTATATAGTTTTAATTTAATTTATTAATTTATAAATTTATATTTTAGATTTTTTTGATGACAGTCATATTATGATTGTATGCACTAGCCAAGTACAAATAAAAAAATGAATTGAATGTGAATTTTTTGAAATTGACTTGTCTTTTAAAAGAGTTGCTAATGAATTTAATAAATTTGAAATAAATTATTATGATCAAATTTATAATACTCGTAAGTAATCATTTATATTTTTATAAAACTATATATTATATCTTAATTAATTATAAAACATTTATTAGTTTTAACTTTTGCCCAAATTTTTACAAATCAATCAACTGCACTTGCCTATCAACAAATGTTTGAAGCTCTGTTTAATCTTATTAAACAATTAACAGAAACATCATCAAGTTTTAAACATATACATGGTGAAGGATGGAGTTGTATAATAGGTGATCTTGACATAGCACAGGCTATTGGATTAGGTGAAACTCTAGCTTCAATTGATAATACTTATAATTGTGAAGAACATTTAATATACATTTTTAAATCTTGTCAAGTTCATTACAAACGGTAATATTATTAATTTATATAAATAATATTAAATTTAATATTAATTATTATTAATACATTTTAATTTAGAAAATTAA